GCTGCGCCAGGGTACAGCGAGTGACCCTCGGGAGCTGTCGTTCCGTGGCCGCAATCGGATTGGATAGCCACCCAAAGGAACCGGGTGTAGGTATTTGAATTTTGAGTTCACAACAGCTCTCTAGTGAAGACGCTGGAATCACATCTTGATGGCAGAGCCTTCAACGGGTAGATCCGAGAGAGACGAGGCGACACCTGCCTTGTGGAGAGCTAGAATAGATGGCAGTGTAATGATATGGTGACCAAAAATTCTTAACAGCCTCAAACGGTGAAGGCGAATGTTCGTATTCCAGCTGTATTTATAAGTAGAGAATAAGAAGCCTGTTCGATCGCAGGAATCACTTTTTATTCATCTTAACTTTTGAACTACTAGCGGTGTCCATCTTCAATAGTAAAAATGCCAACAAAGCAAACAAAATTTATAGGATTGGAGGCCAATCAAGCATCAGTAACGCCAGTCCGGAAGTTACTACGCAGGCCTCTGTATGTTGACGGTAGATCTATATGTCAATCAATTCGCGACTTGTCTTATGAGGTATCATCATGTGTGTCTGGGTGGTACGGGTGTGTCAAAAAGCGATTGCCGGTTGGTATTGCTATAACGCTTAGGGGCGCATCATCACACATACTCACGCATTATTAGTTTTGGCAAAGAAAGAAGTTTCCGTTTTCAGAAAACAACACGGCCGTCTGCATTTTGTCGCTGAGCAAACAGTCCAACGTAAGGCTAGCGACGCTTGTTTTAGTAAATCTTCCTTTTTGGCATGCACGTAGTTTGCAAGATGCTGAACTCTCTCTCTCAAATGCGCATATGTGATCTGAAAAGCAGTTACTAGCATATAACGACAAACTGTGTGCAACGTGTAACGGAGAGAGGCTCTGGGTTAAATAATTTGTTTGAGAGCGGCGGTGACTTCCACGGGTCGTAAAGCATGCTGCATCAGACGCGTATCCAGGGCCGCTCGTTTGATTGACTGTTTCTCTGGTGTTGATCTTCCAGACCTCAGTTCGCCCTTCACTGCTCACACATTGCTTGAAGGTCGCCTGGAATATCCGGTCCTACTCTGTTCACTCCGGTGTAGTGTGGGGTTAATACCAAGCTGTTTATGGAATATGTAGACACAGACAGTTGGCGTGTGGGACCTCAACTAGTGGGTGCCGGAGACGTTACGACCCCCCCCTCCCCACCACTGGCGAGTTTAGAGTAGTCACATTGGCGTAAAATCCATAACAGTTTTGCACCACCACTAAATTGTACCTGCAGCTCAGCATAAAACACGTTTTTTTTTCTATACGTACCCTGAGCTGCTCGGCGCGTTAATCCCGTTCGAACCTTTTCAGCCTTCATTCCCTATATACTGTAGGTGAGTTTGTTTACTGACACGTGAAAGTCCATCGTTGATGCCCTTTTTTCAGCTAGTGAATGCTGTCTCACTTGTAGACGCCAGATAAGAAAAAACGTCATTCTCGATTAGTTCTATCCCATACAGGTTGAAGGGGCAAACCCTCCCACAGCCTCTCTGTGGTCGGAGAGGTTCACACCGGAACTCTTAGTATGCTTGGGACTGTTTGGACGCTGTTGTGTTTGTGTCGTGTTTGTTCTTCTGCAATATACCCTTCCTACTCGTTCTCTTGTCAATTGTTTTTGGCCCGAGTTCGTTCTCCGTTTTTTTCGCACTTCCGAAAGATTATAATGTCCGGCCTGTACATATATCCGCATGTATATTCTTTTCTTCCCGCCACCAGCCTTCCTGCTGAAGCCTCGGACCCTGCACGTTCACCTCCAGCGCTGCCCCATCGCCGATGTGCCCTCCGAACACGACACCCTGCGACAGTGGCTTTGCAGTCGTTTCGCACTGAAAGACAAGTAATTCCCCTTTTCCTTTCTCTTCCCCCAATCAGTCATTCGTAGCAGAATTATATTTTTTATTCCCTGAAGGAGTTGCCGGCAAAAGTAGATTATGTAGTCCCCTTCATATACCCCTAGTCCAGTATTTTGTCCTAAGAAAACGATGATAATAGGGTTTCTTAGGTGGGGGGGTAGGGAAATAGGATAGGCAGAGAATGAAATTTTTAGAAGTAAGTGTAAAGTGAAAAAATTTTAGTCGAAGTTGCTTCCCGCGGCCGCTGGGAGTAAGTTGTTCCGCATGCAACTTGAAGGTGTGCGCGGTGCACTGCGCCGCGGACTATACTAATCTAACTCCAGAACGGTAAGTTGGACCTCAGG